AGGCCCTGCCCCCATCCGCCACAGCAACCTGGGAAAAACACGCGTGGTAGCCTTAGGGATTTCCACTCAACACTGCGCCACCCTTCGCGGGAATGGACTCGACCAGCGTGTCTCTTTTCCAAGAAAAGAGATACGGGGTCAGAGGAGTGGTTCGTCCTGGACCGCACCTTCTCCTGGAGCGTGGGGGCCCCTCTTAACGGAACCCGAGTGGGAGGGACCAAGTGAAGGGACGAAAAGAGAGCGCAGCGGCTCCGGAGTCTGGGCCGTAGCGCTGTAGGGCCAGTGCCTCCCCCGCCCGCCTCCCACAGCCGGGCGCGGTGCCGCAGGGCCGGTCCCGAGGCCTGTGGCCGTCGCCGTACCAGGGCTCCCGAGCGTACTCCTCCATGGCGCCGGCGTCCGGCCGCGCAGTCCGGCGAAGCCCCGGCTGTGCCACGCCCCCTCGGTAAACGCCCACAGGCGCCCGAGCTGCCACCAATGCCGGGGCCGCGATTGGGTGGCTGCGCCGTAAGTCAGGCCAACGGCGCACTCTCATTGGCTACCAGATGCGTCATCTTTTTCGCAGCCTGAGCTTCGCCCAGTTCATTTCCAGTCTTGGGGAGAGACGGTCTAGCTCTGTGCTTTGGAAGGAAAGAGTCGCGTGGTCCTGATGATTCTAGCGGCGACGACAGGGATGCGACCTGTCTGACAGCGTTCCCCTACCTGCGTGACTCTATTGGTAACGTCGAGGGACGTGCATATTTTGAAGCCGGAGGACGTGCTCCCCTGTGCATCCCCATCCTAGCTCTTTGGTTCCTCCCACCCGGCAGTCTTTGGGGGACGTTAGGTGAGACCATTTCTGTGGCGTGGGGGAGCCGCGTTCGCCCCCTACGGCAATGGGCGAGGCCAGGGCCTAGGAGAGGAACTGGCTTCTGGAGCGCTGGGCCTGAAGAGGAGGGTTGGTGAGAGTTTTGCTAATATTGCCACCTATCTCTTCCACCTTTGAGCGCAGTTTCGTCTGCCCAGCTACTGGTGAGGTGGTGGGGGTCCAGATGAGCACCCGCTGGGGAGGAGGCGCTTGGTTATAGGATCGATTCAGATTTTCTTTGGAGCTGGTTTTTAGTCTGTCCATCCATCCCTAGATCTGCCTGCTACTCGCTATGCCGCTGCCCGTTGCTCTGCAGACCCGCTTGGCCAAGAGAGGCATCCTCAAACATCTAGAGCCCGGTGAGAGCGCTAAGAGCAGATGAGCCTACCACGTGCCCGGCTTGACAGGCACTTACTTTGTTGTTGATACTGCCACTTGTATGATACATGGGCCTACTGTGCACCAAGCAGTGGGGTGGCAGGCATTTTTTTGTTAACCATACGGATTCCTGACACCCATTCCTACTGGGTGTCAAGTATGGGGTGGGGGTGGGAATCCGGGGAAGATAGACATTTCATCCTTACTATTGACAGCTGATACCTATTTGGGCCTACTGCATGGTGGATTCAATCCATCCATGGAAGTGATAACAGAGTATCTAATAGGAGGATACATGTCATGTACTGCAGTCTCCTGTGCCCAAAGGAGTGTCAGGATGCTGATACTGTGTCCTTTACCATAATGGTAACATTCTTTCAGACCTACTGCGGTGCTAGGCACTATGCTGGTGTTATATAGGTTATTGTTTACCATATCAATATGTGTTTTGGTTGTACTAAGTGCCTGGATACACATTATGTTAAGTCTATTCGGTGCCAGGCCCTGTGCACCTAATTTTTTTTCTGATGGTATATACCTTGTTAACAATACTAATGATTATAGCTGACATCTCTTTTGGGCCTACAGTGACAGGCAATATGCTGTTGCTGAAATATACATTTCATTGTTATTTATATCCACAGCTGAAGTCCATGACAGGCCTACTGAGGGCCTGATATTGAGTTGACAATATACCTTTTTTAGTCTACTGATGTTAATTGACAACAGTATGCGTCAGTCCAGTCAGGAACTGAATGGATTCAGAGCAGTGTTTGAATAAATCCCTTGCTATCCAAATTCTTGCTGCTAAAAATACAGAAGTCAGAAATCCCCGACTTCCTAAGCTTGGGAGCAGAATAGATTTGGACATTTTTAGAGAAACTTCTTGCTGTTTAAACTCATTTTCTCCAAATTGATTTTGGTAGTGTGCTGCTATGTACTCTTTGAGCTCAGGAACTGAAAGAATATGGATAAATCCCTATCAAAACTCTGAAGCCAAATAGGCTTGGGTAACATTGTATCTTATATCAGGGGTGGGGAACATCTGGCCCGTGAGCCATAGAAGACCCGTGAAATCATTTGGTCTGGCCCTGCCAAGGCGTTAGGAGTGAGTTAATGAAATGTTTGACCAAATATAGCAGCTAATTTTTAAGTTGATAATTTTGTATGGCCCGTGAATGATGTTATAAATATCCAAATGGCCCTTGGTAGGAAAAAGGTTCCCCACCCCTGTCTTATCTGAAACCAGGAACAGGACAGATTTAGGTACGTACATGTTTTGGTAAGTTCGCTATTTATTTATTTGTTTATTTTTTTCAAACTATAAGAGAACATTTATTTGGAAAATCATAGAGGTAGAAGAAGTAATTTATAGAGGAAATGGCCTCAGGAAGGGCCCTTGGAGCTTGGGAGTGAGGAAGGTGATGGTAATGCGCCTGGGGGAAAGGGGAGGGGAAAGGGAAAGGCGCCGGCCGGCGGGAAGGAGAGCTCGAAGTTCACTGTTGAGATGCTAGGACTTGGATTGTGAGCGCTATGTGCCATGGCTGGTGAGATCCGGCACACGCACACATGTCCGTGTGAATGTGAGCGTCTCTCCAGGCCCAAACTGTAGGATGAGGATCCCTGATACTTACCGCTCTCCTCCTCTGCCTGTCCTGGCAGAACCAGAGGAAGAGATCATTGCTGAGGACTACGATGATGATCCCGTGGACTATGAGGCCACCCGGTTGGAGGGCCTGCCACCCAACTGGTACAAGGTGTTTGACCCTTCCTGGTAAGCTTGGAGACCTTCGGGGGGTGGGGGAGCTGACTTCTGCTTTCACCCTTCCTGTGCTGTCCCTGGCCTTGGGGGAAATAGGGGACACAAGGGAAGGGATCTGGAGGGTCCTGACATGGGGTAGGTATAGGTAGAGATTGGGAGGCAGTTGAGGCTACAAGGGGAGGACATTTGTGCTGACACTTCTTCCCTCCCTCCCACTGCCCTGCAGCGGACTCCCTTACTACTGGAATGTGGACACAGACCTGGTGTCCTGGCTCTCCCCACACGACTCCAACTCCATCGTTACCAAATCTGCTAAGAAGCTCAGGAACAGTAATGCAGGTGAGTTGGCAGGTCCCAGGGTGCCTCACGCGCTTCTAGCATTTCTCAGAAAGGGCTCAGTAAATGATAGTGGGTCCAGGAGGGACAGGTGAGACAGGCCAACCCAGCCCCAGGCAAGAGAGGTTGGCAAAGGCAACAGCCACTGGGTTCTGAGGTGGGAGATAGGAGGTCACTTCAAGGCTTTTGTGTCCCCAGATGCTGAGGAGAAGTTGGACCGGAGCCATGAGAAATCGGACCGGAGCCACGAGAAATCGGACCGGGGCCATGAGAAATCCGACAGGAGCCACGAGAAGTCTGACCGGGGCCATGAGAAATCAGACAGAGACCGTGAACGTGGCTATGACAAGGTGGACAGAGAAAGAGAGCGGGACAGGGATCGGGACAGGGATCGGGACAGGGACCGGGACAGGGACCGTGACCGTGGATATGACAAGGTGGACAGAGAAGAGGCCAAAGAACGGCGCCACCATCGCCGGGAAGAGCTGGCTCCCTACCCCAAGAGCAAGAAGGGTAAGCTGGGCAGGGCTGGACCCGGGTAAAGCTGCGGGCACAGGGGCGCAGCACGAACGGAAGCCCTTACTTCCCTTCATGCAAGTGCCTGAACCCGGGGTTTGGGAGAAGGTGCTGCAGCCATGGCAGCTGTGGACTCCATTTGTGCTTGCAATGGGGGAAGCTCAGTGATCAAGCGGTCCCTTGTGCCTCCATTGAAGACCTTGTTCTGCCACCTCCTTCCACAGTTTCAAGCCGGAAGGATGAAGAGTTAGACCCAATGGACCCCAGCGCATACTCAGATGCACCCCGGTAAGTGACATGGACTCCCTGCACTGGTGATCATTCCTTTCTGCCTCACTCTCTCCTTCCCTGCCTCATCAGTTGCTTGGGAGGGGGTTGCCTTCCACATCCCACACTCCCACCTCCTGACCCTCTTGTCATCCCCAGGGGCACCTGGTCAACAGGACTCCCCAAGCGGAACGAGGCTAAGACGGGTGCAGACACGACAGCCGCCGGGCCCCTCTTCCAGCAGCGTCCCTACCCATCCCCAGGGGCTGTGCTCCGGGCCAATGCCGAGGCCTCCCGAACCAAGCAGCAGGACTGAACCCTCGTGGTTTTTAATAATAAAAGCTTTACAGTGGCTTGAACCCACCAGGCCAGAGTGCTTTCCTTCTCTTGCATTTTTGAGGCTTTCCAACCCAAGGTGGCAAGATGCAAAGCAGTTTATTTGCAAAAACTCACCTAAGAAATACTGTGGGGGTGGCAGGGACGTGGGGGCAGCAGGGGCTGGAGGCTGAGGTGGTTCCTATCTGGGCCCTCCTTTATCAGACAGTTTGGGTGTGTCAGCCCTGTGTGGGGGTGGGGGTGGTGGGGATGGGGGGATCGGTGTCTGCCTCCCCCCCACCCCTAATACTGATCAGAGTTTGGTCCTGGCTGAGCCAGGGCAAGAAAGGAGGACGAGGCCAGGCCAGCGTCTTCAGTCCCAGCAGCTACGAACCCTTCACCTTGATGAGCAACCTGTGGTGGAAATGGGAAGGAAAGAAAAACACAGAAAGCTGGGGTGGGCTGGCAGGCAGGCATTCTGAGCAAGCGAGGGTGACAGCAGTGAGCCTGGTAATCCTGGGGTTAGTAATAGAGCCCATGTGTAGAGAGCAGGTCCCCTGGGTCAGAAAGCTACACGTGGACTAAATAAATACAACATCTTTATTTGGCATTAGGTATCCTGACATTGGTTCATTACAGTTCCTTAAAAAACAAAAAAATCAGAACAAGTTAATCAAAAATAAAGGTCCAATGGCCCTATTTACACATAGCAAAGACAGCCCAGGCATCTCCCAAGCGTGCGCACGGGCACAGACACCCCCCCCCAACACACACATACATACATACACACACACCCGGGAGACAGTTAAGGGGTTAATAAGCTTTGAGGAATGCATGGGGCAAGTTCCATATTTCAGCAACTTTAAGACACACACACACACCCCCTCCCCCATGAATTAAGGATGCCTCATTCAGCCAGTGGGGTAGCGAAGAGTATGGTTGGCAGCTTTATTTTTTTCTCTCAGAAAATAACCCTGCATCTGGCAACTGACAGTATTTCTTAGATTCAGTGATTCAGCCACTTCAGGGACCTCCCTCCCTGCTTTTCCCATACCCTGGATCATCAATGATCTGATTACACAAATCCCCAAACCACTAAAAACCACATAGTCCCCATTTCTGGACCAGGCTGATGCAAAATCTCAGCTCTCGCCCCGACCTCTCCCACAAGAGCCCCACTTTCAGGGGTCTCGGCGTCAGGGAAGCTGCCTGAAGGCCACAAAAAGAGCTGCTAACATGATCCAGTGTGGTGGGGAAGGAGAGCAGGCCTGGAGCTATGGGAAATGAAACCCCACAGGCAGGCATCGGTCATTATTAAAGAGCTGTAGGATTTTTGTCCAATTTGTCCTTACAAAGGTACAGGGACTACTGGGAGGGACTCTCCCAGGCATGAGACAGGACACCTCTGGCTGAAGGAGGGAGGCAGATAAAAAGGCCTTAAATGACAATACCCTCCCCAACCTGGTCCTCAAAGGGGTGAGACTGGGACAGAGGAGGTGGCTCTAAACACCCCTCCATGGGAGGGGGGGTTCAGCGGACAAGCAAGGGCCCGCCCAGCCCTACGCCCCTCCCAAAGTCTCAAAAGACCTTAAACCCCAGAGGGGCCAGGCCCTAGGGGCAACTTGGGTCCTGCAGATGCCCAACACCCTCCACCCAGTCCCCCTCCCTGTCTCCCCACACCGTTGCCAGCCCTCACTTCACCAGCACTGACTTTGGCAGAAAGGGCTCCGTGCTGAGGTCTCCGCGATGGGAAGACAGCTGCGGTGGTGGTGGCTGCCCAGGAGGCTGCTGGTGAGTGCAGGGCCCAGAGGCCGAGGTGGAAGTAGAAGCTATGGCTTTGGCTGCACTTCGGGGAAGGCTGTAGAGGTAGACGGCGCCGATGACCAGCCCGGCACCAAGGGCAAACAATGGGTCCACGTGGAAGCCAAAGAGGCGGATGGAGGCAACAGTGGACAGCACGATGGACAGGGAGGTGGCAAAGCCCTTGAGGATGTTGTCAGCGTACTTGACAACAACAGCCACCAGTAGCCCGCCAAAGGCCTGGTTGAGCACCACGCCCCAGACAGCAGGTGTGTACCCGAAGAAGAAGCCGCGGTGGGCCACAGCGGCGCCCTCGGCCCACCAGAGCCCCACCAGGCCCAGCACTGTGCCAAAGAGGCCCAGCTGCAGGTTGCGCAGCCACACGGAGCCTGAGCTGCCTTTGAGGATCTTCTCAAAGTAGACACCTGCGAAGCCCGAGGAGAGACAGGAGGCCACGACAGCTGTTAGGCCCACCCCAGGGTTCTGATCCAGTGGCCGTGGGCCCCCACCACCGGCTTGCTGTGCCTGGACAATGGCGACACCCGTGAAGAGGAGCAGCAGGGAGGCCCACTGCAGCCGGGAAAGGCTGCGGTTCAGCATGAGCACGGAGAACAGGGCTGTGGTCAGAATCTTCAGCTGGTACGTCACCTGCGAGTGGCATGTGGAAGACACTGAGAGCTGCCGCTGACCCCCGACATGTGCACATGGGGGGCAGCACCCACTGTGGGCCCCCAGGCACAATGCGGGGACAGGGTAGATGACAATAAAAATAGCAAACATTTCCAGCTGCTGCCCATTGACAGATGTGGCTAAATTGCCCTGAGGTTCCTCCCAGAAGGTACACAGGAGGTTGACTGTGCAAGAAGTCCCCGGCCACACCCAAGCCCACATCCCAACCCCATTTCCTGGCTGTGTGATGAGGGAGAAAGCACTTGCCCTATCCGAGCCCTGACATCTGCTGTCAAATATGGCTGGTGTACGTCAAACACCTCACACAGAAAGTAATGACTGAATGGTAGACATCATGATGAGGGAGGTCTTGATCAATACCTGTTGATACAAATGAGTCCGCCATACAATATTAGCAAATTATGTGCTGGGTGTGGGTGTAAGCACTTCATGTGAATTCATTCATTTAATCCTCATGTATGAAGTGCGTGCTATTGTAATGTCTAATTTAAAGATGAGAAAAGTGCCCTAGCTGGTTTGGCTCAGGGTTCAATTCCTGGTCAGAGCATATGCCTGGGTTGCAGGCTCGATCCCCAGTGTGGGGTGAGCAGGAGGCAGCCAATCAATGATTCTCATCATTGATGTTTCTATCTCTCTCTCCTTCTCCCTTCCTCTCTGAGATCAATAAAAATATATTTTAAAAAATAAATAAAATAAAATAAAGACGGGAAAACTAAGGATCAGGGATTTTAAGTGACTCACCCAACACCACACATCACACAGCTAGAAAATCGAGCTGGGATTTGAACCTGGACAGCCTGGCCCCTGAATCCAGGATCTTTAACCATTTCATAAGACTGCCTGAAAAGAGCCTGAAGCTTATCTATCACCAACCAAGGGCTCTTCCCGGGTATCATATCTTTCAAACATCCCAGCATCCCAGTGAGTAGCTGTTACCATTTCCATTCCCATTTCTCACCGATGAGGAAACAGAGGTCGAGGGAGTTGCCTGGATATACCAAAGGTGATAAGAGCTCCCGCTCTCTGCAGCCCCACCCCCACTCCCACCCCCACCCCCGCCAGTTCCTCCAGGGCCGTGCTGGGCTTGGGGCTCACCTGGAAAGTGGCAGCTGGCAGGTTGGAGATGGCAACATACTGGAGGTTATTCTGCAAGGTGTAGATGAGAGAGGGCACTGCAAGCTTGAATGTGTCCACATACTGCACCAGGACAGCCTCGTGGAGGAAGAGGACCAGATGCTTCACGTTACCTTGGTGGATGGAAGAGAGCCCTTTTAGCACTGACTACCAAAGATAGGGATCCTCTGCAGGCTGGGACTAGGCCTGGTCCCGTGTCTCCCCACCACACTGCCTCCCTGAGGACTAGAATGAGTCTGTGCTCTCAATTTCCCTACAGAGGAAGCACGTCTCCAGCAGGCCTTTCGGATACTCAGTGGGATAAATACAGCAGTCCATTAACACTGGACGTAACACTGTGTCTGAGAATCACAGGCCATACCTCACTTATCTTAGAGCCTACCTCCCTGGCGCAAAGCCCCATTCAGAGCAAGCACTCAATACACATTTGTACAATGAACTCGTCAGCATTAAGTAGGAGCCCAAGGAGTGTACGTGGAAGGCTGTTTATCAAATAGGGATACTTTTACACTCCACTTGTAGACTTAACCTAGCTCCTTACTGGCCTGCAAGCTTTCTGTCAGCCCTACACACACCAAGCAGTCACCTCCAACACATGGAAATACGCATGCTTGACTGTTAAGCAGAAAGTCTGGTTGGGACCTGCTCCAATCAATCAATGAGAATACTTTCCTATATAATAAGGCCTTTGCAAAGCTCGTCCCACTTTTTTGGCAGTTCGGTGTCACTCCTCAGGGAAAACCCAACCACTACACAAGATTATCGTGGGACCTGTCGATGCTCACTCACATCCCCTGTCCTTGCCTTTCATGGCATTAACCCCAGGAGTAATTATCAATGTCTAACCCAGGGGTGGGCAAACTTTTTGACTCGAGGGCCACAATGGGTTCTTAAACTGGACCGGAGGGCCAGAACAAAAGCATGGATGGAGTGTTTGTGTGAACTAATATAAATTCAAAGTAAACATCATTACATAAAAGGGTACGGTCTTTTTTTTTTTTTTTAGTTTTATTCATTTCAAACGGGCCGGATCCGGCCCGCGGGCCGTAGTTTGATGTTTCTCTCTATCCCTCTTCCTTCCTCTCAGTAAAAAAATCAATAAAATAGCCCTAACCGGTTTGGCTCAGTGGATAGAGCGTCAGCCTGCGGACTCAAGGGTCCCAGGTTTGATTCCGGTCAAGGGCATGTACCTTGGTTATCGGCACATCCCCAGTAGGGAGTGTGCAGGAGGCAGCTGATCGATGTTTCTCTCTCATCGATGTTTCCAACTCTCTATCCCTCTCCCTTCCTCTCTGTAAAAAATCAATAAAATATATTTAAAAAAAAAAAATCAATAAAATATATATATTAAAAAAAATTTTTTTTCAGGTGTTAGAAAGGTAACATGGTCAAAATACTATATACCTCATATAACACACCTGACATAAATGGGCTACACACCATAATCAAGCACATTCATATTCCTACCACATGAGAAAAGGAGAAACACACAAATATATCAATAGCCCCAAATCAGGTCAGGCCAAGCTTTACCACCAAATTCAGAGACAAGAAAAGCAGGGTGTGTGTGTGTGTGTGTGTGTGTGTGTGTGTGAAATTGTAGGTAAGAGATGAAAGCCTGCGACTAAGTCTGCAGCTATTTGTTTCTCCTCATCTAATGTATCAGCCCCATGAGGGCAAGATGCAAGTCTGCGCTGTTAACACCCTCCTCCACAGACACAGCAAGGCCTGCCATGCAGTATTCACTAGAAAGTGTCTGAGAATCAATCAGGAGCAGAGCAGGTAGGTCCCTAGACTGCTGTCTCCCAGGGCCCTGGAGTAAAGAGTGGGTAAGAATGTCTTGTTCAATGTAAGTGCTGAGGGCATAACCACATGCAAGGCCTTTATAGAGAAATGACTTGGCAACATTTTAAAGAAGAAGGCCTTCAGGGAGGTGTTTAAATTAGGAGATAAAGCTACCTTATAGGAAATACAGAGGATAGAAGAACATGTTAAATACAGAGGATAGAACTGCTGGGAGGCAGTCAGCAAAATCTAGGTTACCCAAAGTCTACAAGACAAATGACCTGGTTTCTTCTACAAATTAGAGAGAGAGAGAAAAAAAAGAATTGGAGGGAAATATAGAGGTTAACAAACTCAGAAGACCTTAACCAAGTACAAAACACTGATCTTGATATAAACTTGACTCAAACACTGATACAGAAAACAGATTGACAGCTGTCAGAGGGGAGGGTGGTGGGAAGCTCGTTGAAAAAGGTGAAGGTGCCAGCACCGGTTTGGCTCAGTGGATAGAGCGTCAGCCTGCGGACTGAAGGGTCCTGGGTTCGATTCTGGTCAAGGGCATGTACCTTGGTTGCGGGCATATCCCCAGTGGGGGGTGTGCAGGAGGCAGCTGATCGATGTTTCTCTCTCATTGATGTTTCTAACTCTCTATTCCTCTCCCTTCCTCTCTGTAAAAAATCAATAAAATATATTTAAAAAAAAAAAAGGTGAAGGATTAATAAAACACAAACAAAAACACCGTCTAGACTCTAGACAAACAATAGTATGGTGATTTCCAGAGGGAAAGGAGGGTGGGGAGAGGTTGGAGATGGTAAAGGGGGAATAAATGGTGATGGAAAGAGACTTGACTTGGGGTGGTGAATATACAATATACAGATGATGTAATATAGAATTGTTGTACTCCTTAAACCTTTATAAATTTATTAACCAATGTCACCCCAATAAATTCAATAAAAAAATTTGACTCAAATACATTTTAAAAAATGTTTATGACGCCCTAGCTGGTTTGGCTCAGTGGATAGAGTGTCGGCCTGTGGACTGAAGGGTCCCAGGTTCGATTCAGGTCAAGGGCACATGCCTGGGTTGCGGGCACATCCCCAGTGTGGGGCATGCAGGAGGCAGCCGATCCATGATTTTCTCTCATCACTGATGTTTCTCTCTCTCTCTCCCTTCCTCTCTGAAATCAACAAAAACTATAAAGAAATATTTCATGTGGGACATAGGGCAGGTCCTCAAATAACATTGTTTTCTTTAATGTTATTGTGTTATATCTATTGAAATGCCTATAAACTTAATTCATTTGTATCAATTAGCCTGTGGTAAAACTGGTTTCATTATACATTGTTTCATTTAAAGTTGCTGAACCTATTGATGACATTAAGTGACGACTTACTGCACTTCAATATAATAAGGTGGGGGGGCATAGGTAGGCAGACATATAGATTGGCAGTGAGTGGATAATCGCTGACTGGTTTTTTTGTTTTGTTTTGTTTTGTTTTTTATTAATCTTCACCTGAGGATATTTTCTCATTGATTTTAAGAGAGTGGAAGGGAGGGGGAGAGAAAGAGAAATATCAATGTGAGGGGATGCAGCCTGCAACTGAGGTACATGCCCTTGACCGGAATTGAACCTAGGATGCTTCAATCCAAGGGCTTGATGCTCTCCATCCACTGAGCAATACCGGCTAGGGCTCACTGACACTGGCTCACTGACACTGTTTAATAGCCATCAGTTGATAATTGTTGAATCTGGGTGATGGGTACATGGATATTTTCCTATTTTATCATTTTATCATTCTCTCTGATTTTGTGTTTGAAGCTCCCCATAATAAAAAGCTAAAGAGACTAAATAAATCATCATGTAAGGGTCACCTGCCATTGATGGGTACAGACTGGCTCACTCATACAGGGTTTTGGGTATAAAAATATAGATGGAGGAACAAGGCAGCTTGGCTGCACTTACACACTTCCCAGGCAACTCTACAGATTCAGAGATATTCCCCCAGCAAACCCTCCATGTGGGTGCAGGTCTACACACACACACACACACACACACACACACACACACACAGAGGCAGAATCCTACCGAACTCCAGTACGGCCCCCGCCCCTCCCTGGCTCATACCCCTCTTCTGTGCGAAGAGTAGCAGCAGGCAGGTGAGACCTTTGAGCACCTCGGCCATAACCACAGCAGTCGTGGCAAAGAAGCGGTCGCCAGGCAGCGTGCGGGTGTAGCGGATGCTGAGGATGAGGGAGGCATTCTGAACCACCAGCACGGCTAGGGATATGTATTTGAGGCGCCGGTGAGCTGTGGGGGATGGAAAGAGCAAAGAGGAAGAAGGTGTCAGAAGCTGCTTGGGACATAGCCATACCACCACCCTCCCCTCTCCTTTTTCAACCAGGATCCTCCTAGCCACCACTGCTTTGTCCTCCCTCTGCCTGCCCATCCTAACCCGATGAGGGTCACAGGAAGAAGAGCCAGAAAGGTAGAAGTGGGCGGGGCCCATACCTGGAATCCTTCCTGAGGTGTTAGGAAATGGCCAGGGCAGGCCCTGGACACCCCGTTTCCCCTGAGAAGCAACTCTCTTCCAGAAAAAAATACCAACTACAGTCTCAACATCTATTGAGTGCTTACTGTTTGCCTATCACTGGGCTAAGGGATTTATATGTATTACAACAGACCCCAATATTGCTCTGATCTCTGAAGGAACTATAAGGATTCCCATTTTATGGATGAGCTAACTGAAGATTTATATGTAATGTTGCTTCTATTTAATGAGGGGTTGTTCCATGTAAAGAATGATACTCTAATACAGGGAATGAGACCACCGTATAAAGCAGTGGTTCTCAACCTTCCTAATGCTGCGACCCTTTAATACAGTTCCTCATGTTGTGGTGATCCCCAACCATAAAATTATTTTCATTGCTACTTCATAACTGTAATGTTGCTACTGTTATGAATCGTAATGTAAATATCTGATATGCAGGATGTATTTTCATTGTTACACATTGAACATAATTAAAGCATAGTGATTAATCACAAAAACAATATGTAATTATATATGTGTTTTCCGATGGTCTTAGGCGACCCCCGTGAAAGGGTCGTTCGACCCCCAAAGGGGTCGCGACCCGCAGGTTGGCGACCCACAGGTTGAGAACCGCTGGTATAAAGCATGTTCACTCCCTAAGAAACAGCCTTTCCCCCAACTAAGAAATTATTTTATTCTTCCACACTCAGAATGGTCTCTCCAACCCCTCCCTCCTATGAGGACAGATTCTTTCTGACCCAAAATAATCTAACAAATAAGATATGATTCCCACACTGTCCCAAGGATTGAGCCCCATATAATCAATGATTACTTCACCAAAAATGGTCTGGTTCCTTCAATGATATAAGGAAATTTCCCTTTACTCCACATGGTCCAGTCCTCCAACCACTGCATTCCTCTACCTCCAGCCGAGAATTATTCCTTGTTTTCCTCACACAATGAACAATCCTGGCTATAAGGAAGAGCCTGGCACCCTAAGAACGTCCTTTTTCCGCCCTATAAGGAAGGACTGCCCCCCCCCACTCCAGCATATAATAAACCTCCATTGGGAGGGGACCCCCAGATGGCCTGCTCCCCATATAATGAAGGACATCCCCATCCTCAAAATGGACTCTCTAAATCACACAAGGAAGGACCTGCCCCACCCTAACTCACAATAGCCCCTGTGCCTTTATAAGGAAGAACCTCCACCCGGAATAACCTCTCCCTTGTATAAAGAGAAAACTCTCCCACCCTCGGAATGGTCTCTCCTTTCCATAAGGAAGGACCCCCACACACACTCAGAATGGTCTTAGCCTCCCCAAGAGGAAATATCCCCCTAGACTCAAAATAGCCTCTACTCTCCCTATGCAGAAGAGACCCCCCCATCACCCTCGGGATTGATTTTTCCCACCCTCCACACACTCACAATGGTCTGTTCCTTCTTCCCTCCCCACCCATCCTCACCCCCGCTACACACATTGGTCGGTCCATACGGGATGCTCCCTCTCGCTTCAGTCAAGCACCTTCCTGATGTCCCCCAGCGATCCTGCCCCTGCCCCGCCGCCGACCGCTTGGCCACAGCCTGCCTCACCCGCACTCATGGTACCAGGCTCCAAGGCCCCCGCGGAGACCACTCCTGGCCCGGCCGCCGCGGTGGAACAGCCAGACCCAACCGCTGCCATGTTGGCATCTGCCTAGCCCGTCCCCTCGGCAACAGCAGGCCACTTCCGTGTCTGTCACTTCCGCTTCCGGGCCTCTGGGGTAGGCTAGGACGAGGGAAGGGCTGACCAGAGCAGTGGCTTTCCTTGTCTGGTCCAGATCGCCGTTTTGAAGCCTCAGGACTTCGATTCCACGTGATAGGGAGATCGGGCGTAAGGCCAGCTCAGCACCGCCCCGCCCCGCCCCCCCCGCACAGCCTCTTCCCGTTACTACGACCCGCCCTCTTCATTGATATCGCTTTCCAGATCACCCGCCCATCCCGTCTCGTCGTCTCATTGGTTCAGTTGCCCCGCTCTTATCTCCGTTCTTTATTGGCATGGTCTTCTGATGGCACCACCCTTTCCACACCAAAACTAGGTCTTTCCTGGTTGGACTTGAAGTTCCTCTTTCCCCTTTCCAAGAGAGAAACCACCCCCCTTTGTGCGCCTTCGGGCTTTTGGGAGCCAAATGATGTTTGAGGGGGCGGGGCAGGTGAAGGTCAGCCAGGTAATCTAAATCAGGGCAGTTTAGAATATACAAGTGAAAGGGCACAGGAGAGTTTAATTGAGCCAGAGAAGGGAGGGCAAGTAAGCCAACATTGAGATGGAAAAGAACTAAGAAGTGGACTGGTAAGCCCGAGAGGCTTACCGGCCAGCTTTTGAAAGCAGGGCAAGAGAAGGAACAGCTGAGGTGGGGACAAGTGAAAACAAGATAGAATAGGGAAGGCAAGTCAAGAATTAAGAGAGATGAGCACTTAAAGGTAAAAGGGAGAGGCGAAAAGGTAAGGGCAAAACAAGTGTTAGAAATCAAGGGCTGGCAAGATCCCACTCTGCACTCAAACCTAGCCCCACCCTCACCAATGGCCTGAAAGGGCTTTTCTTTTCCCACGTGGAAGGGATTTACTTCCTCCCTAGAATTGGGGGGGGGGGGGTTTCCTGCCCCTAAGCTAGCCATCTTTAATCAGGGATGTGTCCCAAACATCTTCAGTATGTGTCCAATGGAGCCCTTCTGCACCTACTGGTCATTACATAAGAGCTGGGGAAGGGGCGCTGTCAATAGTTTTGTGTGAATCCATAAAAGATCTTTAGGATGGCACCACAAGACAGGCTTCCTGAGGGCAGAGGTAAGATCCACTCCATCTCCCTCTTGGCTCAGACGCAGCAGATGCTCCACAAACGCCTCACTGCAACTACAACTGACCAGTCACTTGTGATTCTATTACGTTTATTAAATAGTGGGTTTCCACACATGGCTTTTTAAATAATCCAGGCATGTGGAGAAGGGAGAGGATGACACAGTTGGAGCTCCCTTCCTCCTAATACATAAGTATTTACATTTCAGCAACTGGACAATCCTGGCTCAGAAGGAGGCAGCAAGAATCCAAAAAAGGTGGAGGGGGAGGCCCTAGGAGAACAAACAACAAGACTTATTTCCCCCACCCTATCCCCCCAAAAAACCATCCAACCCATCCTAGTGGACTCTGGTGGTGTCCATCTCCCATTCCTTCCCAAATCTTGGAAGTAGGGTTTCTCCTCACCAGAATAAGAGCACTTGGAATAACAGAGTAGGGTCCCTTCACCAAAAAAAACAAGACAAAAAAAGAGAAAAAAAAGCCCTGGGATAACAATAGGGCATTACCTCCCCCAGAATAATCAACCCTGGGCTGAGGTAGGCAAGCAGCTTGACTGAACATGGAATCTTAACCTACACTAAAGGAAAACAGTCCCTTTACTAAAATAAGAGCTGCTGGGGTATTCCAACAAAAGCACCCTTGCCCAAGTTAGAGCATTTCAACTAAGTTTGTGTGGTGTAGCAGGCAGGAGGTGCCAGTGTAAGGGTTGTAACACAGATTCCTGGGGCTCAGAATGGAATTAACTTCAACCAAATAAACATACTTAGTAAAATGAGAAGCAAGGAAGTCCCCCCTCCAGAATAAGAAACTGTAAATTCTGGGAGGAAGGCTCCTTAACAGGATTGGGATGGGGACTGGGCAGACTTGGCATATGTTTTCTGACCCCTGATCCCCAATCTCTGACCCTAGTAACACTGGATTTTTTAATGACCTGTAAAACCAGATCAACAGATGTCCTATTCCTGTGGCATGGCCATGGGGCAGCCCAACTAGGGCAGCAGGGACCAGGCCAAAGGGGCAGAACCCCCTTTAGGAGTATCAGGGGGTGCATCCTCAGCTGGTGTCTGCATCCAGGGATCCACCAGGATCTCCTCCAGTGAGGGTCGAGCAGAAGGTTTAGGGTCCAGGCACCGGCGGATTAGAGCACAACAGTCTGCAGGTCAGAAACACACAGGAAATTAGCAGTTAGTTGGGGGCACCAGTCCCTGGGAGGTATGGAGTCCACTGGGCTAGGGCCAGTGAGGGCCTCACCTGGGGATACATGGTCAGGGAAGTGGAGCTCAGCCTCCAAAATCTCCTGGTCCCTCTCGAAGGGAATGTCTCCGCATACCATGTCATAGAGAAGGATACCCAGTGACCAGACAGTGGCCGGGAGTGCATGATACTGGTGACGAGAGATCCACTCCGGGGGGCTGTATACCCTTGTCCCTGTAGGTAAGCCAGAGGTTAGACCATTTTTTTAATAATGCCCTTCTTTCCACCCCCACCCCAGGAAGTATGGTCCTGTGACCACAGTAGGAGCTCTTTAAATATAGCAGCAGGGTCTCATCACCAGAATAAGAGCACTAAAGACAGCAGAGTCCCCTCATAGAACAAAAGCACTTAAACACTCAGGAAACAGGATCCCCTCACCAGAATAAAAGCCCAGAACAAGGTCAGGGCACTGTGAGAAGATGGGCTTTAACAGAGGGCAAGGCAGGAGGAGCCCTCAATATTAAAAATCAAGAACCTTATAAAGTTACAATGTAGGTCAAGGGTTACACCCCAGCACTGGAGATCAAAGGTCAAGAGTCCATAAAGATATAAAAAGTAAAAAATCTCCCCACTGAGATTTAGGAAAGTCTTACCATCAAAGTCAGTGTAGGGCTCATCATGAAGCAGGGCACCAGAACCAAAATCAATGAGTTTGATAGAGACTCGGCGGAGGTCTATCAGGATGTTTTCATCCTTGATGTCACGATGAACAACTCCACGGGCGTGGCAGTGCCGAACGGCTGCCACTACCTGGGTGAAGAGGCAGCGGCTCCGTTCTTCACCAAGCGGGCCCTGTTCTGTGATGTAGTCAAAGAGATCCTGGGCAGGCAAAGGCCGCTCAAGGACCAGCATGAAGCCCTCTGAGGTCTCAAACCAGTCAAGCAGGCGGATCACACCAGGGTGTCCACCACCTGCACCCACCTTCCACAGCAGTGCTACTTCCAGTGGGCATGTGACCGACTCTGACTGTGGGAGGAAACAGGGAGAGGGAAGAGAACACAGACATTAGGCCAGTAACTCTGAGGCTGACTTCTGGCCTGAACTTAAATCATAGCCCTTCAACCTCCTAACTATCTGGCTTTGAGCAAACCACTTCCTTCCCTGGGTCTGTTTCCTCATCTTAAGGGCTCAAACTCACACAGCCATTGGGAAGGTGATTAAAGCCAAAAGCCTATGCAGGTCTGGCATGTAACAGGAGTTCAGTAAATATTTCAAGAACAAATAAAAGTGGTTCTTTTTAATTTTTTTAAAAAATCCTCACCCGAGGAGGATATTTTTCCCATTGACTTTTTTAGAGTGGAGGGATGGGGGAGAGACGTTAACGTTTGATACATTGATTGGTCACCTTCCATTCACAATAGGGGCTGGGGATTGAACCTGCAACTAAGATATGGTGCCCTTGACCATGAATCGAACCCCCAAGACCCTTTGGTCCACCGGCCGCTGTAATCTCTGAGCCAAATCCGCCAGGGATAAAAGTGGTTCATAAAGAAAGACTGTATTATGGAATATTTTTATCTGTTTTGTTCACTGACATCTCCAAAGAGTTTAGAACAGTACCCTATGCACAGTAGGTGCTCAATAGTGTTAAATAGATGAAAGCACTTTACAGCATAGCATCTGGCACAGAGTTAGCACTAAATAAATACCATTACTGTGTAACAGTTTCTGTTTTGCTCACTGACATAGCTCAAGCACTAGCACAGTGCCTGGTAACAGGGTAGGGCTCAATACATAGTATGTGTTCAGTAGGTGAAAGCAATTAGTAGAAAAGAAGCTAGCACAAACCGAGCTCTCAATAAAGGTAACATTTTCCCTAGTGCCTAGAATTGTGCCTGGGACATAGCAGGTACTCAATTTACTTTTGTTAAGTAGCTGAAAGTGAGCGATTGTAAAGGAACAGGCACAAATTAAGAACTCAATGTTATCACGGTATTTTTTTTACTGTTACCAAGCATCTAGAACCGGTTTGAATGAAAGTGATTAGTGGGACTTGGAATACAGTAAGCCTTTTATGATGAAGCAAAACCTGAGGCATACCTTGGTACTCAATAAAGAGCATTAATGTTACTAGCCACAAAAGCCGCCCCTCTAGAAAACCCACGTGGGCACAAGGACTTTCAGAAGTAGCCTTTCTGCCTGAGATGGGGCCCTCTGCTGGCCACTCCACCGATTCGCACAGCTGCAGACAGGTTTTCTCACGGCCATGAAAATTCCGCTACTGCGCAGGCGCACCTTCCCAGATTCCCGCCAGGGGGCGCTCCCGCATTTACAACTGGCCCAGACCCGCCCTGCCGTCCGTTAGCGCGCTAACGGCACAGAAGCAGCCACCGTCACCATGGCAACCAGTGACCTCTGCCCCCCCTTTTCCCACCAGCATGCCCTGCGGGCAGCCCCTGAGGCAGCATTTGGAGGGAGGACGAGAGAGGGGGGTTGGAGGGGAGAATCCAGGGCTCTAGGGGAACTAGGGTGAGTCAGAATTGTGTGGAGGTGTAGATGTCACTGCAGGGGAGTAAACACGGGCTGGGAGGAGTGATCTCGTCAGTAACAGGGCCCAGGGAGGCGAACAAGCCATAGAGAGGCAAGGGGGCGAGAGAGCCCATCATCAGCTATGGCGCCACCAGGTCAGGAAGGACTCCGAAGATACTCACCAGGGTGGACCAGCCCAACACGCGATTCCGGGGGATCACTTTGATGGCCACCTGGAGAAACGGGCGGGAGTTAAGGGGGCGGAAGATGACCCCCGGGTCCTTCCCAGTCCTGAGCCTCACCCTAGTCTTTGTGGCCCCAACTACACCACACCACGACCCCCAAAGAGCCGGGGGCTTCTCCCTGGCCCGCCAAGTCCCCAGGACCAAGTTCACCTCTCCCACCGCCCTCAGCCCTCGGCCCTGAGCTCCGTTCTCAAGCCCAGAACCTCGCAGACCAGGTTGTGAGCTCCAAATTTCTTCACACCCAAGCGCTCCATGTTTCAAATCAAGCCCCAAGACGCCCGACTGTGTCTCGGGGTCCTGTTCCTCAAGATTCCATGTTGGAGACCTTGCCCCCCAAATCCCCCAAATCTCAGCTCTGGGACCCCACCTTCACACACATTTACACGTCCCCTGGATCCCGGGGTCTAGAGTCCTTAGGAGCCCCCGCTCCCTGTTTCACTCTCAGGCCCTCCCTAATCCCTGCCCCTCCCCCACACGCCCACCTGAGTCGCCACACACGCACTCACTCACGCGGGCGCGCGAACGCCCCCCGCAAGCCGGGTCCCGGCTCTTTGGACCCGACCTCACACATATTGTGGGATCGTTCCCAGTCAATCAGAAACCCAGCCGCGGGTCTCCCGCCCCCGCCACACGCACACCTGACCCTCCCCAGATCCTCGTGGCGGATACCTGGAGCCGGTCTGTGATGCGATGTCCTGCGAAGACTGTGCCAAAGCCCCCCTTTCCCAGCAGGGGGCCAAGTCGGTACTCGGCCTCGAATGCTTCCCGATCCTTGCCTCCTACGCAGGCAGAGGCGAGGAAGTCAGGGTGGCCTCGTGCTAAGCCCCGCTGCGACCCTCCCCCCTCCCCCCGGGTCGCCCTCCATCGCCTCTGCCCGCCCGGCCTGGTAGCGGTAAAGAAGCCTCGCTCACCTGGCGGCGGTGTGGGGGTCACGGGGGCCACCGCGAGCCCCTGAAGAGGTTTGCTCAACATGGAGGAGGCGCTGCGCAGATTGAGCCCGCTGAGCCCGCAGGGCGTCGACGCCCTGGGCAGCGAGGATGGGGAGCCAGGACTTGGGGGCGCCAGGGTGGAAGGCGGAGAAGCCGGTGGCCCAGAAGCGCCCACAGACGGCGCAATGCTCTGATTCGTCGCGCTCGCCAGCCCCAACGCTACTGAGCCGGGGCACGCGCCTCCCGAGAGAGTCGCTCAGAGCGACGGCCCCGCCCACTTGGCTTTGATCAATCCGGACGCGGCACCTGCTGTACCGCAGCCAATCGGAGCCAGTCCTCATTTGCATACCACCCTCCAGGTCTCAAGTACCCCCTTATGCAAATACGCGCCCGGATCTTCCGTGGGGGCGGGGTCTGCATGCAAATGAGGGGGCGCGCGCGAAGAGGAAACCGGTTCTGGGAATCCCTTTGCAGCAACTGCATTTGTTTTGGTTGTTGCACGGGGTTGTTTTTATATATGTGCGTATATGTATATATATAGAAAAAAAACTTAAAAAAAAAGCTGCACCCCCTCCTTTCCTAGGAAGTTGGTTTGCTGCTGCCTCAAGATTAGCACGGAGATAACGCCAGGCCCAGCTTCTCAGAATCTGGGCCAGTGGCTATCCAGAACCCTGTCTCTCAAGGATGCTCCTCACCAAGGACAAGGGCCCTCTAGGTTAGGCGACCCATGGCCCCTGCCCTGAAACTGAAGCTGGGGATCCTGGAAGATTCTGTTTAGCTGCCAGGGAGGGCAACCCCCTGACCACTATAACAGGAGCATGCTGGTCAAAGGCAGCATCACAGAGAGGCGGCCTGTGGGGGTGTTTTTGGGGCTAAACCCGGCCAGCTGTGAGCCCAGTCAGCAGGTCCAGAATCTGGAAGGGCGGGTGTGGGGGGGTGGTTCTTGAGATGTAGGAGCAAGCCAGAGTGGTGGTGGCTTGGGGGTGTGCTCCAGGTGAGAGACAGGGGCTGAGAGGTGGTAAAAACCCTTAGTCACAAATTTGAGAAAAACAGAGTCGGGCCTCATGCTGCAGGAAGACAGACATGCACTCCAAAGAGACACACATGAAGTACCAAATGAGATATACACAAATACGTATCATCACATTCATGTAAACTTGTCCTAGACACACATGGAGACGTGCACTGTCACAAAGAGCTCCATCCACTGTCAGGCAGGCATGCTGCCAGAGAGTCATATCCCAGAATGACACAGATAGTCACAGAAAGACAGGCACTCCAGAGAGATTCACGTAGACCTACATTACCATGTGACAATGACACAGAAATGTCTGTCAGACACACCACCAGAACTTGTCACAAAGGCACTGGCACCGTCAAATATGCACTGTCACATAAAAACTTGTGCTGTCCCAGGAAGCCACACAAATGCTTGAGACACACATGCACTGCTGCAAAGGCAAACATATATATGTGATACCTGTGACGGATAGATCCAGTCATAGACATGCATGTACCCGCAGGCATACAGCACTGTCACTGACACTGTTCAGAAATAGCTGCCCAGAATCCATCACAGGAACACAAATGGACATCCACCCCATCAGAAAGAACCACAGATGCGCTATCACAGACAGAAACACACAAACATGCACTCAGTCTCAGAAACAGACACAAACTGTCATCATCTGGCACACCTGGAAGCAAGCCCTCATCACACACACAACTATAAACACTCTGTGAGATGCACATAAAGACTTGAACTCACTACAGTAACATATACACAGACAACACCCAAAAAGCAAATACACACATGTTACTCTCCTCTATTCACCTGACATTTATTAGGGGTCTACTGTAAGCCTATCAGGCCCTGGTGGGAGTGCAGATATTAGAGAAAGATAAGTCAGGCATCATAGCCCTTACCCAGGAAGTTGATAGTACAGTTATTGGGGAAGGAGTAAAGACATATTTGGCCCGGCCAGTGTGGCTCAGTGGGTGAGTTGACCCATGAACCAGGAAGTCATGGTTTAATTCCTGGTCAGGGCACATGCCCAGGTTGCAGGCTTGATCCCCAGTAGGGGGCATGCAGGAGGCAGCCCATCAATGAGTCTCTCTCATCATTGATGTTTCTATCTCCCTCTCCCTTCCTCTCTGTGAAATCAATAAAAAACATATTTAAAAAAGACGTATTTGTAGATAGATGGGAGAATGTGGATGAGGTCACACAGGGCTTCTCAGAAGGAGACCCTCTACACATCTTGAAAGACAAGGCCTAGGGCTCGGGACAGGGGAAGGGCAAATTCTACACATAGGCCCAAGATAACTGGAGGCAAAAAGAAGTAGGCAGGGGCAAACGGTGCTTACATTTCAACAGTAGAATAAATATCTACTAACATTTGAGCTTTTGGAATGTGCTAGGCACTGTGCCATCATTCATTATGTTGACCATATGCATTCTCTCTCAATGCTCACAACCAGAGTGTGAGATAGTAGACATTAATCACCCCTGTTGTACAAATGGGCCACTTGAAACTCAGAGCCTGTGATATGACCAAGGCCAAATGGCAAGAAAAAGCTGAGGAAGGTTTGAAACCAACTCTCCAGCATACACATGCTTGACCAATGATTTCAGACATCCCTCCGACAGCCACTCAACCAGCCACACCCTCGCCTGTAGAGTTGGACACGCATCCTTCCACAGGGGCCCCATTATTGAGGCACAGCAAAAAAGACACTTGACAAAACTTAAGGCAGTGATTCCCAAAGTGGGCGCTACCGCCCCCCGGTGGGCGCTGCAGCGGTCCAGGGGGGCGGTGATGGCCACAGGTGCATTTGGGGGCGATGAGTAACTGCTATTAAAATTTAAAAAAAATTAATTTCCAGGGGCTGAGTAATATTTTTTCTGGAAAGGGGGTGGTAAGCCAAATAAGTTTGGGAACCACTGACCTAGGGCCAGCCATCCTTCTCTGCCTTGGCTTTACCCCTAGGAAGGTCGGGACACAGAACTGTCAGAGAACTGGGGGACATGATAAATAAAAAAGGGGTTAGCCATTCCTCAGCTTCTAAAACCCAGTGGAGGAGGTCCATCTGGTCCCTTCCACTGAACTCATGTGAAGCATCTACTGTACTTCCCAAAGTATTTCCTCATCAAACGATCAGAAGAGCAAACATTTATGGCGAAAGAGGCAGGCAGAGAAGTTGGAAATTCAGTCCCTGCCCTCAGCTCAGTCTGCTCCCATCAAACCCCAGGACATAAGGTGGGCAGGCTACATCCTGTGCCAGTGCTGAGGCAGGAGTCACCCGCAAGGATGGAGCTTTCTTGGTGGTAACAGGTCCAGAGGTGGATTAGTAAGCAGTGAGTCAAATATGAACAAACTCAGCCCCACAGAGATCCTCCTGGAGAGCATGCAGCCCTCAGAGGTCAAGCCAAAGCCTGTACCCTCGCTGTCTCTGTCCAGAGACCACCCCCCGCCACCACACACACACACACACACTCTGCCCCACACAGAATAGAGGCGCTCCAGGGAAACTGACATTTGGTTTTATTGTGCCAAGGACATTACAGATGGCGGATCTTGTCAACACCTGCAGGGCACAAGTGCCCCATCTGCCAAGGCTGCTCCCACTCCCCACACTCGAATCCTGAGTGGCGGCTATAATCCTCAAAGGTGCCCCCACCCCAAGATTACAGATACTGGTGGTGATGGAAGCAATAGGAATGCAGTGAGGTCAGAGTTTCATTGTCCGAAGCCCACAGGACACCTGCTACCCTTGGCCCCCTACTCCGCCCTGGCTCATACTCTAGACCCTGCCCATCTCCACAGAGCTGGAGGCCAGAGACAGCAGCACGTCTTTGTGCCCCCTCTGGGCCCCCCTGCCTGCCTGCCCCCAAACCAGAGAGATGCCACCTTCATAGAGTCAAAGCTGTTATCTATGTCGTTTTTGATTGGTTAATTTTATAAGATAAAAGTACATTTTAATAAAGAAAAAAATTCAACATTGAAGGCTCAGACATTCTTAGGGTTCTGGGAAGGGGAATCCCCCACTTCTTCCTCCCACTTCCCTGACATAGTTGTAGAGGTGGGGTAACAAGGTTTTCTGAACTTGGGAGGAATGGGGGTCAGGGAGGTTTTCTTTTGTCTGAATGTCTCTCCTCAGGGGCTGCCTGGCTGCCAGTTGCTTTGTCTCTGTGCCTCTCGCCTACCTTCGGCACCCTTGCCCGAGTCCCCTGTGGATTGCAGGGATGGTGCTGTGCAGGGGGCAACAGGGCACGTCAGCTGGGGAAGAGACAGATGATGGTGGTGGTGGCAGCAATGAGAGGGGGTGCAGGGATGGACCGGCAAGAGGGAGGCGGGGAGGAGGAAAAGAAGGAAAGAAAGGGAAGGAGGAAGACGGCAAGAAGGAAGAAAGCCAAAGGTGAGGCGGCACCGGAGGGCAGGAGTGGTGGGGTTGGGAGACGGTCTCCAGTCTCTGGGTCTCCATCAACTCTTGTCTGGGGGCGGATCTCTGTGCACTTTGTTTTTCTTCATACTGTCTAGGTATTCTTGTTGGGATACTGCCAGCACCGAAGCCAGGATCTCATCATCATCCCAGTCGTTCAGACCTGTTGGGCAAGAAGAAGGGAAAAAGAATGACAGAGCCTGTCTTTTCTTCGCCATTCACTGACCCCTGGCTCTGCAAAGATCCCATCCAGGGCCCTCTAACTCCTATTAGAAGGCTCCTCTGGGCCTATGAAGCCCATTTAGAACCCCTCTGGGACAGATCCCTTGGGCCCAAAGGATTCCCTTTTTTTGGGGAGATGGCCAGAGGCTCCAGAGCCACCCCACAGAGACATACTGCTTCTTCCATCTCTCCCCAGCTCCCGGCTGGCCCCTGGTTCCTAGACAAAGGAGGCTTACCAAAGGCAGAGGGGGACATCTGCTGAATGAGGGCCCGGCACTCCAGAGCAGGGTAGAGGGACACGAGGGGGGAAGTCGCTGGGTCGGCCCCTGTTGAGAACTGGCTGCTTGTACCTGGGGCAGATGGACAGTCAGAGACAGGGCCCAGGACCCAGGCGGCACCTCCTAAGCCCTGCATGCTCCCTGTCAGCAAGTCACTGACCTGGTGCACAGGGTGAAGGAGGTTTGGCAAGAGCTAAGACAGTGCCTGGGGAAGGGGGCTTCATGCCCAGCTCGGCATGCAGTTCAGGGTGCTCGGGTGACCGCTGTCGCGGGGACCGGCTAGTCCACTCCTCCAGGCCACTGGAGGCGGCTGCTGTGGCGGAAGTGCACGTGGCACTGGCTTTCCGGGGCTGCTGTGGGGAAGGAGTAAGAGGTAAGAACCTACAACAGCCTCAACGTTCTTTTGCCCCATCCCCGGCAATCCTGGCTGTGACACAGCTTCTACATAAGTCACCACCACTCCCAGTCACACCATGGACCAAAGGATGAAGGTAAGCTCCTTAACCCTCCTCACACCCTCACAGCCAACTGATAGGAAACCTCCACCTTCAAAATAGATCCAGAGTGCCTCCCAACTCTCCCCCTCCCCCTTGCCTGCGCCATCAGTGGCAACCTGAACTACTGTAGCAGCCTCCTCCTCACTGGTCCCCTGTTCTACCCTTGCCACCCAGACTGCGTTCTGCAACCTGTTAAACCCTAAGTCAGATCCTATTCCTCCTTTGCTCACAACCCTGCAGTGAATCTGCTTCACTCAGAATAAAAGCCAAAGTCCTCATCACGGCCCACAGGTCCCTTCCTAATCTGGCCCCACTGCCTCTCTGACTTCTGTTCCGCTACACTGGCCTCAGGCCGCTCCTGAATCCCAGCAGGGTCTTTGCTCTAGCTGGTCCTCTCTCTGCTCCGGCACATGCACTTAGCTACCTCCCTCACCTATGGCTAGTTTTTGCTCAAATCTTACCTGTTCTGAGACCCACTATGCCCACACTATTTAATACTGTGAACTCCCAGCCCCACTTATTCCCTTTACTCTTCTCTATGTTTTCTTTTCCCATCCATACCACCTCTAAACCAATGTACTCATTATGTTTACTGTTTATTTTGTTCCACTCTTGCAAAAATGCAAGCATCACAAGGACAGGGATCTGGGCCTGCCTGGCTCACCAATGTACCTCTGTACACATAGAACAGTACGGGCACAGACCTACAATAAATATTTGCTGAACAACTGAATCAGCACTTGCCAACATCTACAATCATGCTAAACTCTGTGATTCCTCAAATGTCTATATATCCTGTCCCGTCCCTGCCCTAAAATTTTCAACCCTCCTGCGGGAATACTAACTAGAGCCCCCATCTCCACTGGTCTCCCACCCACAGTCAAGGGCCCCACTGATGCCTCTGTCTCCCTCAATAGACGGGACCACTGAGGGCGGAGCAGGCTAGACCTGATTTCATATTCTCAGCACAGAGCCTGGCACACAAGGATATTCAACGAAAGCTTGTCCCTCTGAAACTATCCATCCATCCTACATGTCACCACCAGTGACTGCGCTCTCTCTCTCTCTCTCTCTTTCTCTCTCTCTCATTCCTTAAGAGCTTGTTCTGCACAGGTGTTGAGAGTTCTAAGGCACAATGCCAAGACTAAGGCCAAGATGAGGTACAGATAGGGTTGGGAGCTTCCTTCTCTCCCAGATGTCAAAACTGCTTAATTTTTCTGCCTGTTTGGGGCAGAGCTGGGGAAAAAATGGGTTCTTGGCCAGGCCAGTGACAGAGCCTAGGACCTACCTGGCTGGAGCTGCGGACCTGGCGGGCCTGTTTTTCCTGATCTCGCAACCATTGCAGGTAGGATTCTCGAGCCACCTGCTCTTCAATAGCCTCATTTGTGGCCTCCCAGTCTGTGGCTCGCTTCTTGTCTTCCAGCATCTGCTGTTCGATCCATGACTCCTCTGATGTCTTTATGGCACTCTTCATCAGGGACTGCTCTGCAAACTGCAAAGGTGGGAGGAACAAGGAAATGGGGTAACACTCTGAGCTCTGGCCAACAGCTGGATCTGGCTCAGGGAGGTAGGCCCACAGGCCTAGAAAGAGGAGACAGGAAGGCAAGTACTCTTACTAAGCACCCCCCTG